CAACACAACCTCGAGCTAAAATCTACTACTTTTTTTCCTTGTATAATGAATTTATATTTTTGTAATGATCTCTGCATTGAGTTCTCTCGTTGATTTGCTCGCCGGTTTATATTTTTCGATTAATCATCAACCCATGCTTGCAATCACCGTCGTCATGGTTATATCATTATGATGTTTACACTACTCTGTTGATTTAGCGTCTTTCTACAGTGAACTAACCTGGTCAAATGCATGTTCGTTACGTAACAATATAGTGGAGTATACAAATAAACATGATAATTATTGACAGTCCCATAATATACGGAAAACTCAGAATTGGGTGATACAGATGATGATAATACCAGAACTTTGAATATATTTCACTCATAGTCCCATTCGGAGATGTTTTTCTCCGAAGATGAATATCTGGTTGGTTTATATAGTTGACTAGCAGACCTCGCAAACGTTGTTTTGATATATTCATCATCTCTATAATATAATTTTCGAGTTCAATATTCATCAAGACACTATCATTATTTCATTTTCTTCTTCTTTTAAGTTTCGCTATCTATAAAAGCGTGTTTCTTTAGTTTTTCAAACTATCATTCATTTCAACTTCTTTTAAGTTCACTTGAATTTTGACGAAATAATGATAATATGCGACTCCTAAAACCTAAAACCAAAATTTTGAATAAAATCGGAATATAATTACAAAACTCGTCCGCAATATTGGATCTACCATCTTGAATTCCCTAATTTTGACGAAGGAATCATAATTTTTGATCCCGAAAACGCCCACTTACAAATTCTGAATTGAATCAGTATATATAAGTACAAAACTAGTCCGGTATATTGGTTCCACCGTCTTGAATTTCCAATTCTCGCAATTTCAAAATTTTGACAAAATCTTATAATCTCCGACCCCGAAAACACACAGATAACAATTTTGAAGAGGGCCGGATCACAATAACACTACCCGTCCGTTATATTGGGTCCGCTATCTTGAATTTCTTAATTTTGACGAAATAATCATAATCTCCGACCCCGAGAACCACCAGATACCAAATTTGAATAAAATTGGATTCCTTATAATGGTGATCAAACTTCACTATCAATATGAGTTTCCACTAATTTAGTTGAATTGTTCCCAAAATATTGAAGGCTCCATTTTTTCTCAAGGTCGTTATCTCATCAACATTTTGCCGAAAAGCTAATCCCCAAATACGCAGAAAATTCCTCGTTCTAATTACTAGTAATTCAGTTTCCGTATAATTCATAAAATTAGCATTTCTAAGTAGCCCTCTAAGAGTGCCAACTGCTCTAAATGGTTCAAATATGCCTCTCGACGACGCGAACTCAAATTAAAAACATGTTCGTTTTGAATTATAATTCAAAATCAAGGAAGGGTACACTGAATAACCTTTGATACCATGAAACATTATTTTTCAATACTTGCAATGCACAGGACGTTAAACTTCTCTAGATTTGAAGTTGTTAGTCCTATAGTTTCCGGGATACGAATAGATATTTATTCATTTCCCAAGATAAAATAACATTAACTTTTCCATTATTATTGATTATAATGAATAATACTATCACATACGGAAAATATTTCTTGATTCAATGATTGACAGCATTGATTCAACCACAGAACTTTCCTGACATATTCATGAAAGAAAATCTTTATTCGGATGGATATTTCCTTACTAGCACAGTACGTATTGATCGAAGGAAGAATTAATTAGTTTGAAACAAGAAAATTCTTCTGTTGTCAAGTTAATCTTCCGTCATATATAAACAATTTTGTTCTTGAATCAAGCAATCACGAGCTTGTTACAAATAGATAATATCTCATTATCATAAGTGAATATTATTTCAGAAGATCCTTATTTTCTTGTGTCAAGAGATTATCATTCTGAAGGAAATCAAAATATATCTTACTATCAGAGTATTGAGTATTAAACAAAATCAATTCTTACATTTGCTAAACAAAAGGATTCATTATCAAAACTTGGTCATCCTATTATAACATAACAAAAATGAAAACATGAATAATATGAATGACAACATCTACATACAGTAAAATCATCAAAAACTATGTGTAGCTCAATCTAGGAGGTGGAATATTCATTTTTCTAGATTTTAGAGAATATCACTGTGCTTGTAATAGCTCGAATGTTTAGCCACGAAAACCTAGAGAGAAGAGTAAAATCATCAATTAAAAAAGTTCTGTTTTTTGCAGAGTGGCTTGTTGAATGGGAATCATCAAGCAAATACCTATAAAACTCTCTTCAGAAGAAACTTCATCTGAATTCATCACAGCCAGGCATTGTCGAAAACAAACGAAATTTCTGGTTACGAAAAATTCTGCGTTTGACAAAACGGCATGTATAAAAGTTGTTGTAGATATGAAAAACCAAAGGTGCTTTGCACCGTCTTCAGAAGAGATAACAGCGGCAATGACGAATGGCATCTAACGACTCAGGAGTCGAATATGGGCACAGGCTCAACGCTGTATATACGTCACTGCATTACCGAAATAACGAGCAGTTTTGGGGCACCTTTGAGAGGAGACTCGAACTTTGATGTTCATCTTAAGTAAATTATGATCTGCATAGCTCTCCATCTGAAGTTTCTTCTTCAAAATGAGCCTGTGATTTTCAAATAGATTGAGTTATGACTGCAAAACCAAAAATTTAATTCTTCGAGATCACTTTGTGAATAAAAGGGATAAGAAGGCAATTCGAAAAATATACCAAGGTGAAGAGATCATCTTCATGCTCCTGATGTCGAAGTAGAAAAAAAAGTGTTTCTTCGATTGGGATATCCTTCGGAAAATTACGAAATTTTGTTCAGTTTCGGGTAACACCCTGTAGCGATTTTATGAGAAGAACCTCATGTTTTTAAGAAGTACGAGATTATAGCTGAAGAAACGAGCTAGCGAGCAGTGTGAACCGAATTCAAATGGTTCAAAGCAGAAAAACGTTATCAATATTTGAACAGGGGTAAAATTTTGGAGTGCAACGAAATTAGTGTTGCGTAGTTCAGTATTTTGCGAGTGTTGATCAGGTATTCAAAGCACAATGTAAAGCATCGCCATTGGCAAGCGATTCTAACTATACTAACTGTAGATCAGGGTTGTGATGAGGACTACAACAAAATGTACTAGATTGCGATGTGAAATTGTAATAGATGACAGTAAATAGTAATAGATTCGAAAGTGACAAAATAGAAACAAATATGTATTTATGCGCATGACCTTAGAACAGCTCATCTCCACCATTTTCAGTAGCAAAATGGTTGACGATAATAGGATGAATTTCCATAAATCCGCAAAATCCACCGACATAATTCACTAACTAAACCGCTAATGTCATAAGATCAAAGACCTGTCATATATCTCACTTATGTTTGCGAATACTATATCGAACACCAAGTGACATGACACGATATGTCATGATCGATAGTTTGAAAATTCCTGCGCATTGAGCAGAACCATTTTCAGGCGAGCAATTTCAACAAGATTTCCGTTATCCTAGGATATGACTTAATAATATAGTATAGCGGTCATGGAATTATTTCAGTGGTTAGAACACAATTGTGACTTCAGAAGCTCAAAACCTCTTATCCGCTCCGTCGGACGTCATCTCGATCGCTAATTTCAATGTGTTCTTCTTTTTAGTGAGTTGGAATCGAATGGTAATAGATTCGCTATGTTCCAATAGTAGTAGCAACGTAAAACGAAGAGTGCTAATACGTAATAGATCTATTACTATTGTAATTGCAATCGAAACCCTGCTGTAGATGTGCGTGCCCCCTACGTTCCACCCCTCCTATATCTGCCACTGATCACCATCATGTAATAAGGCGTAAAGAAGAAAATGGCCAGAGCAGCACGAGGCAAACGGTCTCATTTCCGCTCGTCGGACTGTAAAGTGCCCAAGATAAATGTAAACGGTCTCATCATTGTTGCTTATTAATTGCCTCTTCGAGTCAACACTTGCGTGTTATCTTTTGAGATGGAGCGATGACCTCTGACTCCTGAATCCCCGTGTTGTTTTGCCCCCGGTTGAGTAACGAGCAATAATGACATAAGATGTTTGCCGGTAATCACCTGCCTGGAAAATTAATGAAAATGTGATGAAGGAAATTTACCAAAGTACTGATGTTCAGGAGGTTGTTGAAATTCATATAATCCGAATATTTGTTACTTTCGCATTATGTATTCTTGGCTGATGTTATATATTTCGGTTACATTCCATATTACTCATACCTTCTCATGCAGATTCTGCCGATATTGAAGCGGGTACTCTCAGCTAGCAGGCTCTGTCATCCCAACGCCGGTATAGAGGACGGATGATGACGGATTCACCGGATAAGAGGACCATACTTGAAGTCAAACGTGCTCCATTATTTATACCCCGGTAATCAGGCCGGATCAGCAACGTATTTGCTGGATAAGAGGAGTACATACGAAAGAATCTCATGAACACTGATGACTCGGCTTCAGGCCATTATAATAGACAATCGGCGTTTTATGTGGCGAGTCGAGTAATTATATGATTACATAACAAAGTATTTATTCTTGGAAAAATATCAATAAGCTGATCTGGAGAAATTGTTACCGAAAGGAGACGGAAATCCAATAAACCCATAGAGAAGAAGAAGAAGAATAAGAAGAAGTACTATCGTCGGCTTAATCTGCAAAACCAGTAAGTCCACATTTTGCTGTATATGACATTTCAACGCCATCTTTTTGAATAAAATTCAACCTATCCATCAAAGAAATTACAATAACTCCAAAGATCATGTTCAATATGATATTCTGAATTTAACTAAACCCGTATGTCCAACCCTGGCTTGGAACGTAAAGAAATCTCCTTAAGTCCGCCATTACGCACTATCGAGTAGACCCTTACCGTACTGGCGTTCAGAAAAGTCTGTTTGTTTGCGGTTTATTTCTGTTTAAAATGAGTTTCAATACGTTTAGTGGTTCCAATAACACAGGGTAAGTATGCTACATGGTGATCACATTATCAGATCAGTATTTTCAGTACTTCATCAATCCCAGTAAACGTAAGGTTTGTTAATTTGTGGTTATGTATAGTCACGTATAGTGATGGTTGAACATCGCAGAATAGGAATTCGACACTGGCCAATGCCCTTCTCAATCTATCTATGGTTTCGAAAATAACGATCGAGCAAAAATTTTTGGAGAGAGGCCACACGCAGGTGGAGGCAGACTCTATTCACTCAACTATCGAGAGAAAACTTCGACATACCAATATAAGTGTACCTGCTGACTACGTTGCGATTTGTAGAAGTGCACGTAGATATCCAAGACCATACACGGTTTATTACTTAGGCCATGGATTCTTTAAGGACTTCAGTAAACTCTCTTTTCTGAAATCTCTGCGTCCAGGCAAAAGAGTCGGAGATCCGCACGTCACAGACATTCGCTCTTTGAAGTATACACCAGATGGAACCATTGGTTACAAATTAAGGCATTCCGAAAATTATATGGATCTTCAGTTCAGCCGCGTGTCGAAGAAAACAAGACTAGAACAATGCTGCCCTTTCAGTGAACTTACTGCATTATATGATGATCCGTTGGCGATCAAAAAAGAAAAATTCTTACATTTGCAAGCACTTAAAATGAGTATTCCAGCTGATTATCACAATTTTTATGACAACTTATCATACCATTGAATGTTCAATGTTCATGGTTTATCTAGTTAGGGTTCTTCCACAAAATGTATCTTGTTTTTTCATGTGAATACTGAATAAAGTTCAACTCTCCATTATCACCCCTATTTTTCACTAATAAAATCCCGTTAGTCCAGCAAATATTCGAAAAAAAAAACAGAAAATATTGTAAGTCCAATTGAATACACAAAAAATTAAAATCGCTTTCCAGAATATGTCTAGAACTCACCGACATTGAGAATCTAAACAAACCTATATCTCGGTTTTTCATTTTTATCTTACAAATTATTTCTAGAACGTTTTTTGTTCCCCCTGTAAAATTCAGAATTTTGGACTTACTGGTTCTGCAGATTAAGCCGACGCTATCTAATAACACAAGATGTCCATGGGGTTTCCATATTGTGTCTATTATATGACCTAGGTGCCCATGTGAATATTCTGGACAACAATAGGATGTCCACAAGGAGATATCCAATGGATGTCCAAGTGAAGTAATCCATATGGTGTCCATTATATATGCAAGGTGTCCATGGACACAATCTGGATAACAAAGGAGTTATCCATTGGATGTCCAGGTGAAGTAATCCATATGGTGGCCATTCCATGTCCCCTCTGATAATGTATCTCAACACAATCGTCTCGGGTATCATCGACATCGTTCGGCTCTTTTGGTGACCACATGCCCACAGGGTCAGTCGTGTCAGAGCTGTGATATGAGCCTTGCTGCCGTCTGCCATTGTTATTGTTGTTAACGTTAATGCATTGATAAATATCTGAGACTACTCAGACTGATAATCTCATCATTTTCAGATGGCGTCCTGAATATTCTTACATAATTCGTTCGAATTCGTATTGAGTAACGTTATTGTAATAATGAATATTTGTGTGTGAACGACGAGTTGCTTGTGTTTCATTATTATGCCATTTGGGTCGAAAAATTAATATATCACTTGAAGTGAAGCGAGCCATTCCAGGATGTGTTGATGAAGATGTCGAAGAATTTTAACTAGTAGAATGGATCTGAAATTGAGTGCCTAATACTACAAAAGTGAACTTGAAAAGTTTGTTCAGACCGAATTCATATTGTGTCAACTCTACCAAACTGAATTGGTGTTCTAATAGAAGCAACAGTTTTTCTTTCATGTTCTGTTTCTCACGAAAAAGGAAATCCTGTAATGTTCAGAGAACATCGTGAGAACCAAGGGATATAAGGTAGGAATTGGTGTTCTTCTTAAATGTCTGGAGGTTATATGCTTCGGAGAACACCTCCCTGTTCCAGAGCCTCGCTGTTCGTTGGATGGAAGAGTTTTTGTAAATAGATATTCTACAGGTCTCCAAAGTGATTGTTGATATTTCAGAAGAGCATCGTTCATGAAAATATCTTTAAAAAAGAGCCAGTTCGCCAACTTTTCCACGGTGTTCCAGAGAAGTGAGTGAGTTTGTGAGCGAGGCATCACCCACGAGACGACTTGCCCTATTTTGGACAGAATCCAACAGTTTCAGGGTATGTTTGATTGCTGTACTCTGAATATGGAAACAGAACAGGTCGAATCTGTGCCTTATATATCATAAGCAGCTGACTGTACGCGAAAGTGGTCCTGGCCCGAAACAGAAAACCAAGTTTTTGGGATGCACTTTTAGCAATTGGTCTCACGTGTTTTTCCCAAGAGAGGTTATTGCTGATAGTAATACCAAGCATCAAAATGGATGTCTTCGAAGGTATGGTTACTCCTGAAAAGCTTATATTGGGCACATATATCACATCAATATGACATAGAATATTATAATACCTACTGTTCCTGAATATAATCATATTCACAATATACAGGGTGTCTCAAAAAAACCTGACCCCCTTACTAGGGTAGGTAGAACACTGCAAAATAAGTTGGGTTTACTCAGTAAAAAAATTTCGTTACGGCATCCGTTATCAAGATACAAGGTGTTGAAAAAATGATTTTTTTACGCATTTTTCAAGATTATGTCGAAACTACTGGCAACATTGTGATGAAATTTTGTTTGGATGTTTCTTGGAATCTGACACATCGCATGCATTTGTTTTTATATCTAACTCTCATAGAGGGCGCTAGTTACACGGTTCGTACCGAGTAGTTTTGAACATAACTTTTTTGAGGTTAGATTTTTCAATTCAAATTTGATGTGAACTTGAACATCATCCAATTCCACATCAAAAAGGTACTCCTGGTAAAACTCGATACTGTGTTCCATTTTCGAAATATTTCGATTTGAAAATGATGAAGTAATAACTGTTGCTGGTATAAAGCTATGTAATAGAGCGAGTATTATGAAAAATTATCACATATTTATTAAAAACCGAAAGCAACAATACATTTCTGATGCTGAACTTATTGATTTAACAATGAATCACAAGAATAACATCGAAACAGATTTGACTAAGAACATGGATTACACAGTTTTGTTGTATCTTGAGCAGAAAGTCTAAGCTATACATAAGTAAATTCACGTCAAGAGTTGTAAGACATAATTGAACATCACAACTGTTAAGAAGAATAATACATTCTTAAGAAGAGAATATAGAATCATGTATTCGTCGAAACGTAGGACGTTTTGAACACTTACTCTAACTGATTCAATATTTCATGTTTCTAGTCAAATATCTCTTAATTTTCTACTTATGATTGTTTGTTCCATCAATAACTTCAGCACAAGAATAATTTCATTGTTTTTGAATCTGAACAAATAGGTAATTGAACTCAATAAAATTCATTTTATACCAGCATCAATACTACTCCAATATTTTCAAATCGAAATATTCCGAAAACGGAACATAGTATCGAGTTTCAACAAGAGTTCCTTTTTGGTGTAAAATTGAATGAGGTTCAAGTTCATATCATATTTGGATTGAAAAATCTAACCTCAAAAAAGTTATGTTCTAAACTACTCGGTACGAGCCGTGTAACTAGCGCCCTCTATGAGAGTTAGATATAAAAAAAAACTCATGCGAAGTGTCAGATTTCAAGAAACAATTTCATCACAATGTTGCCAGTAGTTTCGACATAATCGTGAAAAATGTGTAAAAAAATCATTTTTTCAACACCTTGTATCATGAAAACGGATGCCGTTACGACATTTTTTCACTGAGCAAACCCAACTTATTTTGCAGTATTCTACCTACCCTAGCAAGGGGGTCAGGTTTTTTTGAAACACCCTGTATATAACAATCAGAAACATAGATCCTATTCATTGATCAAATCGTCTTTATTATTTTCAAATGGATTTATACACACATAATATATGATGGTAAAAAATACAAAGATATGTTTGGGAATAAAGGGCGAGGTTTATGTTTGATTGGGTATACGAGACACAACCAGAAATATTTTTCCACTGTACCCGATATATGAATGCATAGATTTTAGACATCCTATAAAAGTATATGGATGGATTTCCATGACAGATACCATATGAATTTCTATAACGGATACCATATAGATGTCCTTGACCGATACCATATGGATAGCTAAGAAATTGGAAACGCGATATCCTATGGATGTCCATACGTGATCCAGATACAAACTGTATGTCCTATGGATGTCCTAGATGTCCAGAGGAGGATGTCCATAGGACGTCCATTGGATCGAGTTGTGTAATTAGGGATAATTCTGTCGGTTCCAGGCGTCCTCTTCCACCGCGCCATCCTCATGTCCGGCTCGGCCCTATCGCCCTGGGCGCTCGTGCCCGATCCCGCCCGCTTCGCCGCCCAGGTGGCCTTGCACGCCGACTGCTCGCCCGAGCTGCCCCACGCCGCCCTGCTGCAGTGCCTGCGCGACCGCCCGGTCGACGTGCTGCTGGCCACGCCCATTCTGCACCGGCCGGACTTCGCATTCGCCTTCGGGCCGAGCGTCGATGGGGTGGTGATCGATACTGGGGAACCGCCAAGTGAGTAGTAATTCATTCAAAGATAATTCTTTCTTTTTCTCTCGTTTTTTTTTATCTTTCTCTTTTTTTTTTCTTCAAAGATATGGACCACTTTGAGAAGCGGAGATGGTTTCCGTGACTCAGTATTTCATCTATTTAGTTATTCATTCTATTTTCTCTCGTGTCTATAGACCACAGCAGTCTCTTCACTGGGGCAAAAGATATTCAGCACATGTTGAGAATGAATATTCTGAGATTAATTATGAACATAATATCATAACTCTTGTACAATCTGGGTATCGTGCATTTCACAGTACAACCACGGCATTATTGAATATTTGTGACGATATCTTCAAAGCAATTGATATGAATTACAAAGTGTGTCTTGTCCTACTAGACTACAGCAGAGATTAGGGGAGTGTATGATCTCTGACTACAGCAAGGCATTCGATACGATAGATCATGATGTTATATGTAACAAACTCAAGTTCCTTGAATTTTCTAACAATAAAGTTGTTCTTATGCGCAGCTATCTTTCTGAACGAAGCCAATCCGTTATAATGGGCTCTCCCAAGTCAGAATATTTACCAATTGAGAGTGGAGTACCACAAGGCTCAATTTTTGGGTCAATCCTTTCCTCTATTTACATTGCAGACTGCTACAAATATGTCAAAAACTGCACTGTTCATCACTTTGCCGACGACACACAAATTTATTCAAATTTTCCTACGAATTCAATTCCCGAATCCGTGAATGCTATTGAAGATGATCTTTCATCATTATATAACATTTCGGCTGCTCATAACCTCAAGCTTATCCTAAATCTGTCCCCATACTTTTCCGCCAAAAATCTAAACAATCGCTACTAACACCTGGCTTCAACATCAACTTAGCAGGAACACCCCTACCTATGGTTAGAGAAACTAAAAATCTTGGCTTATGGGTTGACGGAGACTTGAGATTCACTAGACATGTAAGTTATCTTTGTCAGAGCTCCTTTAATGTACTGGGACAATTGTATCCTAATCGTGACATATTATCAACTAAAATAAAACTTGATTTGTGCGAATCTTCAGTATTATTCAAATTGTCATATTGTGATAGCATTTACGGTCCAGAAATCTTACAGACTGACGCTTTACGATTTCAGAAAATTCAGAATTCCTGCATTTGATTTTCTTACGGTATTCGGAAATACGACCATATTAGTTCTAAATTCAGTGAATCTGGATGGCTGGAATTGGAAAGCTTACTCAAACTTCACTTACTAACACTTACTCATAAGGTCCTACAGACAGGTGAACCACCATATTTGCGTGAAAGGGTAGTCTCTTTCTCGAATGTAAATCAACTGAACAGGAAAAACAATTTACTAGTTATTCCGAGACACTCCACAGCATTATTTTCACGTAGTTTTGCCTACAACGCATCCAAACACTATAATTCGCTCCCCTCTGAAAACAGGAATTTATCTTTATACAACTTTAAAAAAAGATTGAAACAAACATTAAGATCAACTACGAAATAGCAGATACGCCCAGGACTGAATGATTGCTGCTGAACCTAGCTCTCTTCTATTTGTCAATACTTCTCATTATGAATAATATTATTATCATTATGAATAATATTATTATCATTATGAATATTATCATTATTTTTTCTTATCATCTTGATTGTTATCTTCAAAAATATTATTATTCACCTCATACTCACTATAGTTTACTAGCTCCATATGTCATTCTCTTTCTTTTTCGCTCACAGAGGTTGTTACCTTACAATTTTCAAAATCATGATTTCTAGAAGCAGACAAAATTGGTTACATGCAAACGGCAGCTGTTGGTCAGAGAAACACTATGGGTTCGTTGAATAGAAAAGATTACATAACTTATTTGTCAAAAAAATTTAGGCGCCACTTAACTATTGACCCTTGGATCACAAGTAGCTATCTGGAAAGTTAAGGAACCAAACAGGAATAACTATTATATAGAATATTTGACTGCATAAGTGATATTTGGAAATTTCAGAAAATTAGTGAATGTTCGTCATATCATAAATAAAAATCAATATAAACGTGACACATATATTATTCACATATTTACAACAACGTGATGGATGGAAATATTTCTAGGATGTCTAACATACTGGCCCAAAAAAAATCTCACGATCAATTGATCTTTTGATAGATGTAGAGATTATCAATATCAATTTGTATATAGTGCATCATATCATGTACTGACATATGATAGATGTAGATATTATCAATTTAATTTTCTTTCAGTATTTGAGCATGTGATGGATGAGAAAATGATTGATATAGGAAATCAGATACTTAATCAAAAAAAATGCATATTCCAATGTTACCAAATCTCTAGATATTTTCCTTTCTTCTTTTCTCTCTTTGATATTTACATCATATTGATTTAAAAAAAAACTATTGAATCATGTTAACTTTAAAATAGAGTGTGAAAAATGTTAATGCTATACAAATAGTGCATAAAGGAATAATCTGTATCTTTCGAAATTCATAAAAATACAGTGTGAAAAATTCAAATGCTACAAGGTTAAGATGAAAAAGACCTTTAGCTGATCCTCGCCTATTCACCATAAACATATATCTCTCTTTCCATTGTATTATATTCTGTATTATTTTTTATATTGGTGAATGAAGTCGATTATTATTATTACTTTTATTATCATATACAGGTTGTCTGCTAAAAGGAGGTCAATCCGATAACCATATATTCCTTGAACAAAAACAATATGAGATTCTAAATACCATTTTCCATTTTAGCCCTTCATATTCGATAGTTGGAAATTTATAACTGTTTTTATCTAATTACTCGCGTATTTATTGGGATATTAATCCCAGAACTGGTACATTACTTCAGCACAAGGAGTTGCATCGTGTGAGGAGAACAAAACGGAAAATAACTGTCAAATATTCAATAATGACTTTTTTTCCCGCTTTTTCTCCTTTTTTTCTCATTTTTAAGTGTGAGTGGCTCATATTCTTCGGAAATTTCCGGTGTGTGTATTTTGAATCCATTTCACAATTTGAATATTCGAATAGTTCCATATATATGTACAGGGTTATCCATCGAGAAGGCCCACCTCCATATTTTCCTTATACTTTCGCTTAGAAAAAAAAATAATATGCGGAAATTCAATGCCGCAATGAGACCTTTCTAAGGCATTCATCAGAGGTTATACAGGGTGATTCCTAAGAGCGTGGCAAACCACAAATCAATATTTTTAAATGGAACACCCTGTTTTTAATATTTTTCTCGAGATCTGTGATCTTTTGCGATCACAAATATATAAATATACAGTATGTTATCTCTTACTGTTTTTCGTTAATTACAATTTTTGTGGTCCAGAACCAAAATTTGTGTGTGATGGCATCAAAATAAATCAAGTAAGCTTTGAAACCGAAACTATTTGACATGTCGTGTCCTCATGTTACCGTCACAAAAAAAATTCGAGAACTTTTAATTTATTTTGTGTGTCGTAATTTGTCGTAATGTTTACAATCGCAGAAAGATATGATATAATGTCTTTATACATAAAAAATAACAAAAACGCTTCAGAGGGTAAACAATTACAAAATTCATCAGGTATGCACGATTTTCGATGTTCGGAAGTCGAATACATTCTCAATCATGTATAACTCTATAGTTGCACGATAAAGATGCCATTCCACACAAAATGTTGTTCTGGGACCAGGAAAATTGTGATCAACAAAAAACAGTGAAAGATAACATACTGTGTATTTATATATTTGTAATTGCAAAAGATTACAGATCTCTAAAAAAATATAAAAAACAGGGTGTTCCATTTAAAAAAATTGATTTGTGGTTTGCCACGCTCTCAAGAATCACCCTGTATAATCTCTGATGAATGCCTTAGAAAGGTCTCATTGCGACATTGAATTTCCGCATATTATTTTTTTTTCTAAGTGGAAGTATAACGGAAATATGGGGGTGGGCCTTCTCGATGGATAACCCTGTACAGTGTATGCGATCTCAACCCAGCAACACCCACCTTCGAAACCCGTCGACCGTTTTTCAAAAACAAAAAATCCATGATATAGTACTCAGCGAGCTATATTCGAAAGTGTGTGGTAACATTTGGAATATTCAGATTTTCAAGGTCTACTTTTGTTTGTTGACGGAGTTGACATTTCAAAAACGACTATCAGGCTTTTTTTCCGAATCAGAGACTAGCCAATTTGATCCAGGCATAGCTGAAATACCCCCATACGAAATTTCTACGTAAAATTTCATTAGGGTGTAACTTATTCAATGGCAAATTTTGATATGTCATCGATTCACCCTGTATCAAAAACTAAGGAGTTAGTATAAATGGTGAAGTATATTCATTCACTGGAGGAACATATCGAATACTTAGATTGAAAGTAACATCGTTGATACTTCTATAGGAAGATCACAGTAGGTCAACCAAAAATTAATGAAATTGAAGTTGGGAAATCATTTGTAATGATCCATTTCTATTTTCCTGGAAATAATAGTAGATTGTTTTATTAGGATCAAAAGTGACACTTTGTTTGACAAGCGAATTTTGCATTTGCGAGGCGGAGCATTTAGCGAAGCCGAGCGAAAGCAAAATTTGCGAGTCTAATAAAGTCACTCTTGATCCCAATGAAACATGATGTTTTTTCTGCAACCGAAACAATTAACCCAAATAAACATGTGAAGTAACCACCAATGCCGTGCCATATGTATGCAATTCAACAAATATTGACAAATAATCCGTGTGGTGAGAATATTCTACCTGCATCAACAGCAGGTTAGGTTTTCGAGGATGTTAGAATTGTAGTTCCGATATAAATACAACCACAGAGTGACATATTTGTGTATGGACCAGGTGCTCTAATGGCAAATACCGCGCCAGTGCCAGCTATAGGAACCTCGATAGGAACAAGACGTGGAAAATTTTAGGTTAGTGAGCATATCAACAATGATATTAGTGATTATTTATTCCTCTCCATACTACACTGTGTTTGACTTGA